CTCCCCGCCCTAACTCCGCCCCCTCCCACTCCCGGCCAGGGGGAAAGGGCTGCCCCAGTGCTACCGGCTTCAGGGTTTGCCAGGCAGCCCCCAGACCCTGCGCCCCCAGCGCAGCTGGAGCCCGGGAGGGGAAGCGCCCAGCTGGGGACACAGGGTGTGGAGGCTGCCCAGCAAACCGTGAAGCCGGTAGTGCTCGGGCTTTGGGCAGCCCCCATGCCTCCGGACCCTGCGCCCCCAGCCGGGCACTTCCCCTCCCAGGCTCCGGCGGCGCAGGGTCCGGCGGCACGGGGGCTGCCCGAAGCCGGTAGCTCTCGGGCAGCCCGGCTCTTAAACAGAGCCAAAGAGTCGGGGAGGAGCAGAGCCGCCATTTTCCCGGACATGTTCAGCTTTTTGGCAATTCCCCCCGGATGGGGGTTTGACTGCCGAAAAGCCGGACATGTCCGGGAAAAGGAGGACGTATGGTAACCTAGTCACTACAACTGAATCGACACCAAGGGCACTTCCTGGTAGCGACATGCCCAGAAAGATACGAATTACCCCCAACCATACTAACGTTACCGCCCGGGGACAAGTTTCCCACCGGAGACCGGGCCTGGCACGATTTGGCACTCAGGGGAGGCGGAGACTGACACTGTTTCCCACACGGCGGCCTGCCCCTGTCCACGGCGCCAAGCCAGGCTGCTGCCCACGATGCCGTTTCCTACCGCGGCCAGGCCCGTCGAGGGGCCGGGGCGACACCCCATTAGCGTGGCTCGGCACGAGGCGGCTCGGACACGCGGGGCTGCTCGCGGGGAAATGGCGGGCGCGCCGGGAGGGGGGTTAAGGGCTGGGGGAGGGGCGGTGTTTCCGTGTCACCGTGTTGGGCTGGCTGCGGCCCCGGGGCTGGGGGGCGGGGTCTCGGGGGAGGCGGGCTGAAGTTGGGCCGTTTTCGCCGGAGCCCTTCCGGGGTCAAAGGGCGTGTTTGTGACGGGGGTTGGGTGCGCGGGGCGACGGGAGCCGAGCGAGGCAGAGGCTGCCGGCCGCCCCGGAGCTCGCAGCGGCAGCACCACCAGGCTGAAGCGGTCGGGCTGGGGCCAGCGCCAGCAGCACCATGTCGCGCGGCTCGATCGAGATCCCCCTCCGGGACACTGACGAGGTGAGGGGGACGCGGCGGCGGCCCCGGGCCTGGTTCCTTCCTCTCCCGTCCCTTGGCAGTGGGCGGGGGCCCCGGGGCTGTGCGGGGGGCCCCAGGAGTGAGTGAGTGAGTGTGTGTGTAGTGGCCTCATAACTCTGATACCCCCCCCCCACCACACACACACACTCACCCACGGGCCTTGTGAGCCGTCCTCACTCCGCTGAACTCCCCCCCCCTCCCAGTCTGTCGCTCCCCCCTTGGGGTCCAGCGGGATTGTGCCTGTTTTCATGGGGAGGAAAGCAGCTGTTAGGAAATGCAGCCCCGGGGCCTCGGCCGGCCGCACGTTGTGGTGGTTGTTTTCACACACACATCACAAGGAAGAGGATGATGGCCTAGTTCCCCCAAGATAACCTTCAATAATAAAAATGTAAGCCTCTTACAAAGACACTAAGGTGCTTAGTCCGAACTCCTTTGATGACTAGTAACTTTCATTTGGCCATGTGCTATCCAGCTGTAGTATGGAGTGGTTAAACTTCATGTTGTCTATGTACAAAATCACACCAGCTTAGCTAAAAGTGTGTTTTAAAGTCAGCTTAGTTAAATCGGTCGAAAACCTTGTGTGGACACTCCTAATTCAGTTTAAAGCTGATTTATATCAAGTTGAGTTAAGGGGGTTCCTTGCCAACATAAACTAAACTGACAATAGGGATATATAGATTTAAGAGTGCCACACAGGTGTTTACATGAGTATAATTAAATCAATCTAAAACTTATATTGGTTCAAAACTTGTATGAAGATGAGTTATTAAACTGGTGAAGCAGTTATATTCTGTTACTAGATACTTCTTACACATACTTGTTTAAAAAAATCTTTCACTGCAATTAGCTGTTACTATGTTTGAAACTTGCCATCTTAACCACTGGATCATTTCTTTCATATGTCTGTATTCTGGATCATAACCTCTTTGAGAGAGACTCATTTTATGTCTTCTACGTTGCTGAGCACATTGTCAGTCTTGTATAAATAATAGGACAGATTTATTCTTTTCTCCCTTTGCCCATAGACTGCAAAAAAATGGATTATATTCTGCTCTCTGAAATATGTTCAGTTTCTGTTGACAGCTGTGGCCATTAGTGCTCTGAGGACAGTATTTGCTCCCAACCCCATAGATATTTACTTTCTATGTTGTTCGGGGGTAGGGTGATCAGATGTCCCGATTTTATAGGGACAGTCCTGATTTTGGGGTCTTTTTCTTATAGAGGCTCCTATTACCCCCCCACCCCCATCCCGATTTTTCACACTTGCTGTCTGGTCACCCTATTCGGAGGGTGGTTGTGGGGAAAACCTCTTCAAGTGAACAATCCAGACTCTTGTAGGTTGTCTAATCTAATTTCTGGCATGCTGGAGAGAGTGAGGATTAGGGTTTCTGTTGAGTTTCTATTATAATATTGTAAATGGAACTTTAAAGAAGTAGATAACATGAGTTAACACTTAACATGAATATTATTGTTGCTTTTAGGTCATTGAGCTTGACTTCGATCAGTTACCGGAGGGGGATGAAGTTATAAGTATCCTGAAACAGGAACATACTCAGCTGCACATATGGATTGCTTTAGCGGTCAGTATTTATGCAAATAAATTAATTTCTACTATATTGCATTTGTTAGCAAAAGAAATTAAATTATTCTTCTAGGTCACTAATTGTGGGCTTGATATTTCTTACATCAATTTTGATATTGCAGATATCAATAGAGGCTCTACAACTTGAGGTTTGTAATTAAATGATACCATTTTTGGCTACTTCTATTACTATATTTAAAAATTGCACACTTCATTCATTTTGTTTTAACTTCGGTATTTGAAAGTAAAAAACATTGTCCTGATAAAAGGGTGTTCAAATATAGTGGGGAAAAATACATTGGTGAATCGAGAAAAATAAAATTGTCTCTTCGATTGTGCTTATTAAAAAATCCCTCTTAATTTAGTAACACAGAAGTTACTACCTAGGCTATGCATCATAATGAGGCAAGATCAGTGCTAGCAATATTCACGTAACTACCATATCAAGCTTATGCTGTCTGGAAGGGAGATCTGAACAGTTCCCAGGGAAGTGCTTTGATAAATAAGAAAAGAGTGAATGGAGAGAAAAGGCCATAAGAGACTATGAATGTGAAAAGAATCAACAACATAGAATTTTAGGATTGAATGGTCTGAACTCTTTCCTTGTAAAGTTCAACTTGTGTATGCTTTGGCTAAATTTCCAAAGGTGTTTTCCAAAAGTATGTAGTGTATTTTAGAACACTGTAAATGTAAGATGTTATATCGCATTTGGCAATCCAGTTTAGATATAGCTTTTTCCATGGCTGCATAATCAAATATGTCTCTCTTCCATTTTAATAGAAGAAACCTTATTGCTTCCTAGAATAATTATTTCACTTTCTTCTCATAAATAAAATTAACCCTCCCAGTATTTTATGTGCTATTTCAATTTTGAATGTGTAAAACTCTTGTTTGATGTTTATACTGTCTTGGTGTACTGATATTTAGCAGTGTAAGTATAGTTGAAATTTGGTATCCTGGACATTTTCTGTGTAAACTAAAATTCCATTTTGATTAAAAGACCTTATTTGCTGTAACTGACATGAATGTTTGGTTACTGTATTCTTCCTAATGTATAACCTGTGTGTGAGAGAGAGAGAGAAAATGAATGAATGAATGACTGAAATTGGAATGATAACAGCCTGACTGGTAGGATGCTCACTTCTGTACCAGAAGGTTGTGGGGATGAAGTCCTACATGAGGATGCTCACCCTCTTCTGACTACCGTACACTACTAGTAGATTCTGTAGTCTCAGACGTGTTGCATTGCAGGCAGGCTTCAAACTGACTTTTTTTGTTTTGCTTAGTCTTTGGTTGTCCAGTTGAACACTTAAGGATCCCAGAGCTATTTTGGACAGGAGTAGCAGATCACTTGTGTACTGTCCAACAGTTTCGTCTTTGAATAATTTTTCATGTGTGTGTCTGAATGAATGAATTATTGTGGGCAGCAGAGTACCTGCTCTAACAACCGCGGTACTTGTGTATGTAATTAATCAGTGGAAAGATCTTGTACTAAGAAAAAGTACTCAAGGAGCTATATTGAAACATGTTACATTACTACACCTCTACCTCGATATAATGCTGTCCTCGGGAGCCAAAAAACCTTACCGCATTATAGGTGAAACTGCGTTATATTGAACTTGCTTTGATCCACTGGAGTGCGCAGCCCTGCCCTCCCGGAGCACTGCTTTACTGCATTATATCAGAATTCGTGTTATATCTGGTCGCGTTATATCGGGGTAGAGGTGTATGTAAGTGAATATCTGCAGTTTAACTGGAAAAAAATATCATGGTGGAATAGCTATAAATGTAGTATTTAAAATGTCGTTTGCTTTTATAGTTGGAATATTACAAACAAGGAAAAACAGAAGATTTTGTGAAACTGTTGGAAGCTGCACGAATAGATGGTAACTTGGATTATAGAGATCATGAAAAAGATCAGATGACATGCTTGGATACTCTGGCAGCATACTATGTACAGCAAGCACGGAAGGAAAAGAATAAAGACAACAAGAAGGAGCTCATTACACAAGCTACCCTGCTGTATACTATGGCTGACAAAATTATCATGTATGATCAGGTAAAAAAAGATTGAGTCCATTTATACAAAGAATCATAGCTATAAACTGTGTCATTAAACTTAGTTTGTAACATTGTTATTGTATCCATATTCCAACTCCGGATTCAAAGTACATTTTTTGAAAGGAAGCAGATACCTAATTATTGTACCCTAAAGGGAAGGTAGCCACTGATGGGCAAGCCCTTACAACCTCATTAGTATGTGTTACACTACTGATTTCACAAATGTTTGGATTAAATTGGCACTTGTGTAGCACTGCCTAGAATAAAAGTGGTTCTAGCTCAAGCGTCGTGATGTAACTATGCCTGTGTGTTGGCCTAAACATTTTGCTCAATATACCTTCCTACTTTGGTGGTATGTGATTTGTAGAAATTAATTGTGGAAACCTACAGTCTCACTGTTGGTATTGCCACAGGCCTTGATGCAGGAGAATCAAATTCATCATAAAATACCAAAATGAGGTTTAAAGTAGTACATTAGCACTCTCTCCTTTAGTTTAATTTTTATAACTTTTTTAAGAAAACCTAAATACAAAATCATAGTATTTGTATAAAAATGCAAAGAATAATATCTTAGAAATCTGTTTCTCATCTAGAATCACTTGTTGGGAAGAGCCTGCTTCTGTCTGCTGGAGGGTGATAAAATGGACCAGGCTGATGCCCAGTTTCATTTTGTGCTCAACCAGTCTCCAAATAATATTCCAGCCCTCCTTGGTAAGAATTTTGTGAATATCTCTGCAAAAACCCAGTCTCTCCATCTCTGTTTAGGACTTGTAGAAAATGCATGTTCTCAGTCTGTCCCAATTCTCGTAAGTAGAGACATATGTGGGCCTTGCAATAAAGAAGGGAGATCTCTGTCTTGGGGTAATACACATTTAAGATTCTGAGATGGATTCAAGAAGTGCCTGCAAAAAGGAAAGCTGTGGTGGTGGGGCATTATCAACAACTGTATGCTAATGCCTGTGTGGTTATGTACATGTCCACCCTTGTAGTATGGCTTGATCCTGCAGATGTGCTACCTCTTCTTCCCCCTTTGTCTGGCTCTTATATGAAGCAACTCCCAGGTTAAAATATTTTAAATTGAGATTCCTCTGTGAGAGGTCATGTATGTTGAATATGTCTCTTTTAGTGTATCAATTTAGTTTTTATCCCCTGAAATCAAGTCCTTGTTCCCCTTGATTCAAGGTTCCTACAGCCCTCCTTCTAGGCTTCTGTATGAGTGTCCCCATAAGCTACCCCTCCATACGTCAGGAGTCTCACAGCCCTCCTAGGGTCTGTTCTGAGAACTCAGGCTGGCTGCACCACTCAGTTTTTGAGCTGGCCTCTTTAATCCTGTCCTTTCCCCCAGTGCTGTGAAAGATCAGTAGGCTGAAGGGCCAACAGGCAGGTGCACAGTTCGACTTTCATTAAGCAAGTATGCCTCCTTCAAGCTGTCTGCTCACTCTCTCCTCCTTTGGCTCTCTGGAGGCTTCTCTTTTATTCCTAGGCCTGTGACTGATTTAGACTGATGTCACATGACCTACCCGATTTAGTCACATTTGGGGAGGAGAGCTGAGTGAGGCACAGGTGGGGCAGACCCTTTACTCTAAAAGGGGACAGTCCACCTTACTTACTAGTCTTTTCTTGCTGACGCTAGCGGTGCTGTGTACTCTGATTGTGGTCGGAACACTTTCAGTAGTGAAGAGTCAGCAAGCAGTAACCCCTTCAGTCAGTATTCTAGAGTGAAGCTTAGGGCAATTTTCATCCAAACTTCCTAACCAAGAAAGGAAAATGAACGTTTATTTAAAAATTATTTTAAAACCTTACTTTGGTTTCCTGTTGCCCTTTATTAATTTTATTTTCTGAGATACTTGACACTTGTAGGCTTGGCATCAAGACCCACAAAGCAGTTATAATCAAATGAATGTTCCTGACAGCATCCAAGCTTTCACTAATTCCATTTATTCTGGCACTAACTACTGAAAAGGTCAAAATAGCAGACCTCTAGCAACTTCTGTAACTTGTTCGTTGTAATAGGTAAAGCATGCATTTCGTTCAACAAGAAAGATTATAGAGGAGCCCTTGCCTACTACAAAAAAGCACTGCGAACCAACCCAGGTTGTCCAGGTAAGGCATAGAAAATCTTTGCTACTGAAGCGATCTTACTAAGTTGTTTAAACCTAAAACTGGTCCTTATAATTCCTGCAGTTAGAAAATGGGCTTTATTATAATTCCTTTTTTCCAATCCACGCTGTCAAAAATTAAATTCTTATTCTTATAGGACAGATCTGCTTTCTTGCTGGCTCTGTAATAGCTGCTAACTGAGTAAATGACTAAGAGTATGTCTGCCGTATTATTGTAGTCATGTTGGTCCCAGGATATTAGAGAGACAAGGTGGGTCAGAGGTAATTTTGTTTTATTGGATAAGCTTTTGAGTTACACAGAGCTCTTCTTCAGGTCTGGAAAAGGTACTCCGTGTCAGAACTAAATATAATGCAGAACAGATTGTTTAGCATAGGTAGTTAACGCGTTATTTGGGCATTTAGTGCACTGGATGAGGTACGCATGTGGTGATAGGCATGTGTAGGATCCATGTATCTTGAAAGGTGTGTGGGGGGTATTGGTCATCATAGCAGTGTAAATATGTGTACAGGTTTTGCATCTGTTGGTGTGGTTTTGGTCTGTGAGGAGCTTGCTTCTGATAGTGAGGTTTAGTGGGTTGTTTGAAGGCCAGAAGAGGTAGTTTGAGAGAGATTTTTTTTTTCAGGATGTGGTCCCCATTGAGTATGGGTTGTGATTGTTTTATGATACCTCATAGGGGTTCCAGTGTGGAGTAGAAGGTGACAAATAGAGGTGTGAAGTTGGAGGATATTTTTCCTGTATTGAAACAGGTTCTCTTGGGGTATTTGGGTGGCCTGTTCCATGATGTGATGTACTTCTCTGGTGGAATGTCCATGTCTGATGAAGGCAGTCTTAAATGTGTTAGTGTATATCCCAGACTTACCACAGAATATGCTCTGGGGAGACTCCGAGTGCCTGTCTGTAGATAACAGATTTCTTGGTGTGTTTGGGGGGGTTACTGTCTCTGTGAAGATAAGTGCGATCTGTGGGTTTATTGTGTATAGTTGTCTGTAGGATGGATGGATGGGGATGGTTGAAGTTGTGGTGGAAATCTGAGGAAGTCTAGGTCCTCTGTCCTGAAGATGAAAATATCATCAGTGTATCTCCAGTATATCATTGGTTTCATGGTGCATTTGTCCAGAAATTCTTCTGCTTGGTGTCCTATGAAGAGGCTGGCATGTTGAGGAGCCATCTTACTACCAGTGGCTGTTCCCATGGTTTGGTTGAAGTGTGTGTGTGTGTGTGTGTGTGTGTGTGTGTGTGTGTGTGTGTGTGTGTGTGTAGT